TGTTTATGTCTGTATGTGTATGTGTGTATATGTTTATGTTTGTATATGTATGTATGTATATGTTTATGTCTGTATGTGTATGTGTGTATACATTTATATTTGTATGTGTATGTGTGTATGTTTATGTTTGTATGTGTATGTGTGTATATGTTTATGTTTGTATGTGTATGTGTGTATATGTTTATGTTTGTATGTGTATGTGTGTATATGTTTATGTTTGTATGTGTATGTGTGTATATGTTTATGTTTGTATGTGTATGTGTGTATATGTTTATGTTTGTATGTGTATGCGTGTATATGTTTATGTTTGTATGTGTATGTGTGTATATGTTTATGTTTGTATCTGTATGTGCATATATGTTTATGTTTGTATGTGTATCTGAATATATGTATATCTGCATATATGTACATCTGTGTATGTGTATCTGTATATGTATGTATCTGTGTGTATGAGCATGCATATGTTTGCTTATATGTAAGGCTATGTGTGTGCATGTGTGTGTGTGTATCTATGTGTATGTATGTGTGTATCTGTATATGTATGTGTGTATGTATGTGTGTATGTGTATGTGTGTGTGTGTATGTGTTGTGTGTATGTGTGTGTGTGTATGTATTGTGTGTGTGTGTGTGTGCGTGTATGTGTGTATATATATAGTGTGTGTGTGTGTGGTGTGTGTGTGTGTGTGTGTGTGTGTGTGGTGTGTGTGTGTGTGTGAGTATGTGCGTGCGTGTGCGTGCGTGTGCGTGAGTTTGCGTGCGTGAGTGTGCGTGCGTATGTGTATGTGTGTATGAATGTATGTGTATCAATGTGTGTGTATATGTATCAATGTGTGTGTATGTGTGTATATGCATGCATGTGTGTGCGTGTGTGTGCATGTGCGTGCGTGCATGCGTGTGTGTGCATGTGCGTGCGTGCATGCGTGTGTGTGCATGTGCGTGCGTGCATGCGTGTGTGTGTGTCACTGTGTGTGTCAATATGTGTGTGTGACAATATGTGTGCATGTGTGTGTGTGTGCATGTGTGTGTGTATGTATGTGTGTGTGCATGTGTGTGTGTATGTATGTGTGTGTGCATGTGTGTGTGTATGTATGTGTGTGTGCATGTGTGTGTGTATGTATGTGTGTGTGCATGTGTGTGTGTATGTATGTGTGTGTGCATGTGTGTGTGTATGTATGTGTGTGTGCATGTGTGTGTGTATGTATTGTGTGTGCATGTGTGTGTGTATGTATGTGTGTGTGCATGTGTGTGTGTATGTATGTGTGTGTGCATGTGTGTGTGTATGTATGTGTGTGTGCATGTGTGTGTGTATGTATGTGTGTGCATGTGTGTGTGTATGTATATGTGTGTGCGTGTGTGTGTGTATGTATGTGTGTGTGTGCGTGTGTGTATGTATGTGTGTGTGCGTGTGTGTATGTATGTGTGTGTGCGTGTGTGTATGTATGTGTGTGTGCGTGTGTGTATGTATGTGTGTGTGCGTGTGTATGTATGTGTGTGTGCGTGTGTGTATGTATGTGTGTGTGCGTGTGTGTATGTGTGTGTGCGTGTGTGTATGTGTGTGTGCGTGTGTGTATGTATGTGTGTGTGCGTGTGTGTATGTATGTGTGTGTGCGTGTGTGTATGTATGTGTGTGTGTGTGTGTGTATGTGTGTGTGCATGTGTGTATGTATGTGTGTGTGCATGTGTGTATGTATGTATGTATGTGTGTGTGTGTGTGTGTGTGTGTGTGTGTGTGTGTGTGTGTGTGTGTGTGTGTATGAATATGTATGTGCATGTATGTGTGTATATGTGTATGTGTATGTGTGTGTAAGTGTATGTATGTTTGTGTATGTGTGTGTAAGTGTGTGTAAGTGTATGTATGTGTATGTGTAAGTGTATGTATGTATGTGTATGTATGTGTATGTATGTGTGTGTAAGTGTATGTATGTGTATGTGTGTGTAAGTGTATGTATGTATGTGTATGTGTATGTGTGTGTAAGTGTATGTATGTGTATGTGTATGTGTGTGTAAGTGTATGTGTGTGTAAGTGTATGTGTGTGTAAGTGTATGTATGTGTATGTGTATGTGTGTGTAAGTGTATGTATGTGTATGTGTATGTGTGTGTAAGTGTATGTATGTGTATATGTGTGTGAGGGGGGGTTGTGTTTTTGTTCGCATTTCTTTGTAAATTATCAATCTTCTCTCTTTTCCTTCTGCCACGGTACACCAAAAATTTTGTCAAGATAAACACTGCTTATTATCCTTTCGTATGCTCTCCTCTTCTCTATTTCTCACTTTTCAAATTCAAGGAAAGAGAACCGATGAACATGCGAACCACCATCTCGAGGGTTCAATCCACCATGTCTTCTTTTCTCTATTTTCTTCCTTTTCCATCCCTATTAATTCCTCCAATCCCTATTCTTCCTGCCTATCCCAATCCCTAATCCCGTTCTGCATCGAGAGGAGGGCAGATCAGGATATATTCAAGCTGGGAAAGTGGAGTAAAGAAGCGAGGTTGGGAGTT